AAAAATATAAATTTTTGGCCTTGGGGAAAAACTGCTGGTTCAGTTTTAATTACAACCAAAAAATCTCAATCGACCAAAGCCACTGGTTCAATTTGGTTCCTATCTTAGAAGAATCTTTAACTTCCGTTAAATAATAGGTTAAACCCACATTTTGGTCCCTCAACTATTGCATGGACCAATGATTGAGTCTCTCAACTCAAAAAACCCCTGATTTGGTCCATGTTGTTTCCCATTTTAACCCCAACTTGATCCTTCCATTAAATTTTTACTGAGATGGCCTATTAATTAATGGAAGAAGAATGACATGTCTAAAATATTTGACACATAGGATTGACAACATGGATCAATGAATGATGTGGCTAAATAAAACAAATATAATTATCTAACCCATCAAAATTACAATTTTACCCTCATGTTCTTCCTCCAACATCTTCTTTCTCAAATCTTCTTCGTCTTTCTTTGTCTCCTCTGAGTCCACTTTCATCACTATTTTTCTAAATCAAACAATTAATTCAATGAAACGTAATTTCATTCTTCATCATCATCAAACAAAATTGCCTAGGGATGGCAATTTGCCCCATGACTCGCAGAGCTCCATGGGGATCCTTGCTCGAGGAAATGGAGATTCTTGAAATGCTTTCCTCCCTGGGGTGGGGATGGAGGTGATTCTTTCCCTACAAAAGTTTGCAAGGAATTTTTGCCACCCCACAAGTCCACGTGGGGATCCTAATATAATAAAAATTATAAATTTATATTTTTATAAATTAATATAATAATAATAATAATAATAATAATAATAATAATAATAATAATAATAATAATAATAATAACCCAATTGTTAATTAGTAATTACCCAAACCCAACCCAACCCAAATATTTATCCCAAATTCCTAATTCTACCGAACACAAAAACCCTAGCCACCATAAACCTTGACTCCCTCATCTCATCTTTTCTCTCAAACTCACTTACCTCTCCTCAGACCTTGGTTACTCTAGCCTTCTCAACTCCTCTCAAGCTCACTCATCTCTTGTCTCATCTTAGATTCTCTTGATCTCTATTTGCTCCCAATTTTCTAGCCTTATAAGATTGGATTAGTTGTTAGATCTTTCTCAATCTCTTAGGCATTAGCTGTTGCTTCTCTTCCATGTTGTTGCTTTCTTCTCTTGTTCTTTAGATTTGCTATCAGATGTGTCATTTTTCACTTATAAATGATGCACTTTTTGGAGTTCATGATTGAATTTTGATTTTTATGATTGGTTTTTTTTTTTTTTCTTTCATTTCATAGTTTTCTGTTTTAGCATATATCAACTATGATAATGATGGGTTTCCTTGGAGGATTTTATTGATTTGAATAGCCAATCTGAGTTAAGTCATAAAAAGAAAGAAACTAATGGATGGGGTTTATTATGCTTTTGTTCATTGGAGTGGCCAATATATTCATTGGAGTGAACTTATTTATTATAATAAAGGATGAGAGATGGTTGCCTCCCACTATGCAACCAAGATCAAAAGAGAGAAAAAAAGAGAGAGTATATTTTATGATACTAATTTATTTTCTTTTAAATCTTTTTTTTCCTTATAAGAAGATTCACTTGCGATCCTTTCTATTAATACATTCTTAACAAAAATTAGAAATAAATTTATATATTATAATAAGATATAAAATATTATAG